TAAATTAACTTAAAATGCAGAAATCTGCCGGCATAATATGTTCGCTTTTATTATCCTGGTGCCTGCAGGTTAGATTATTTAGATGAAAAACACCTGCTAGCTGCCGCGGTGAACTGCTGCAAGGCAAAGAAAGGATAGAGTAGCTCCGCCCAACGCACGTCAGACACACTTTTGCACCGTGCAGCCAAGCTGCTTCGGCCGCACGTCAGAACTAACTGGTACAAGCAGCAAAAAATTAAGCAGCAGACGCGATTTTGCTGCTCCTGCTGCGTCCAGTGTGAACGTAGCATTACTTTGAACGTTCATTTGTTTCACCATGTTTTTCACATCAGCTGTGAGATGGGCACAAATGGAGTCACAGATTAACAGCGATGGTGATGCGTGGAAAAAACCACCTGGTCTCCTTACATTCACCTCCCTCAGCCACGCTTTCATCATCTCCCCTGTTCTTTTATACACAATCTACGCCCACACTCCCCCCTTTAACGTTTTCATGGTGGTCTCAACAACGTCCGCAGTAACAACACACATAGGGCGCACCACACTATAAGGCACGGCGCACATTTTGAGAGAAAAAAAGACGTTTATATGCGCCTTATACTAAGGAAGTTAAGTGTATGCCAGTTTTTTAGGAGATTCTGGGACATCGAGCATACGCTGGATAAGGCTGGTGTGACAGGGGCCTATTTATTCCAACACCAGTGTCCAGGCCCGGGGTGGAAGATTCCTCTAATCCTCTTTCTAAATGATTCATCCTGACGCCTTACAGCATAATGTCTTCTGCCAAGGTTCAAGTGCCAAATGATTTATTTTCATTTATGTCAATAAAATCTTTCTAATTGCTTCTTTTCTCAATGTGAGTCTCTGTAGTCCTAAAACTGCAGACCAAGCATGGCTTAGGGGAAGTTTTCACCCTGCTGGTGTTTAGATTATAAATGGGAGGGGCTAACACAAGAATGAGATAAAGCCCTTCATCTACTGGGTTAATACATTTTGCACATTTGTGTTAATAGTGTTTATATCTTCTTTTTTTCTGCAGCCTTTGTTATAATCTATATGACTGTAATATTGTGTTTCTGGCAAAGTAAATTGATTCTGACACTATATATCAATACAACAAGGCTTGATTTTCAAAATACAGACTGAATTTCAACACAGCAAAATTCCACATGTTTAAATAGAAATAAATAACAACCAGTCTTCCAGGGCAAAGGTTCCTGTCCTGTTTGCCTCTCATCTCATACAACATATCAAATGTATATATATATATATTGTAAATGCTATTGTTTTGCTTGTAAAATAATTCTGAAATCCAATAGATGACACTGTTGCACCTTATATAAGTTTGTACTTATGGTTTATTTAATATAGTTTTAATATTTGTGTGTTGTACCCTATAATCATAGTTTGTTTTAAACATTAGTCACAGTATTTAATTTAAATAAGATTAAGATGGATGCACGTATTTTGAAAAATCACGTTTCCATTTCCTGTCAACATTGTAAGCTATTGTCACCACACGTTCTTCAGCATGGACTGTAAGAGCTCATAAAAACTAGAAACTGCGTTAAAACTGAAGATTTAAACAGAAGAATAAACCCAGCCTTAGTCACAAGCTGGCCAAAGTGGTATGTTTATTTGCTATGTTGTGAGGGTAATCATTTCTGTTTTTATTTTTGTGCTTATTTTGTCAGTTCTACGGTGTTTAAGAGCATGAAAAATCAGTAAGAGGAACTTTTGTCTTCGCGTTGTAACTGAGGCCGGCATATATATATATTTAATTATTTTCTCCCCCCTCATGGGGTGGTATGTGTCATCCTCAAGCTCGGGTCCTCTACCAGAGGCCTGGGAGTTTGCGGGTTCTGCGCAGTATCTTAGCTGTTCCTAGGACTGCGCTCTTCTGGACAGAGACCTCTGATGTTTTA